CGCTGACTTTCCTCCCGCCCTTAACGTTCAATGCCTTGTGCTCGACCCTCGACCCAGGGTGAACAGCACCACCGGCGAGAGAGCCTACTACTTCATCGGCGGCAAGGCCGTGAGGGGCCCGTCAAGCGCCGCCAGTTCGCCCCACACCATGCAGAGTCCCGGGCGCGTCTCGCGGCGCCCCTCAGATACCAGATCGCCCTACGCCATGCACAGCCCTGGGCACGCCGCGCCCTGGACCGCAGGAGCCCCCGCGATGCACAGCCCGGGAGGCTATGTTGCTCCCCCCATGCATCACAGTCCTTCCCCGACGGGCTTCGCTGCGCACGCAGTGCACAGCCCTGCGGCTGCGGGTTTTGCTGGCCCCGCGATGAACCACCCTGCGCCTGGCCAAGCCTCTGCGACCATGGTCCCCTACTACCACCAGCCGGGCTACGGGGGAGTTGTTCCCGCCGGCGACCCGACTCCTACTGCCGCTGGCGAAGCAGTCGGGTATCGCTCGAGCAAGCACTACGTCAGGCCTCGCTCAAAGGCGTCGTGGATGTGGACCCAGCCGTAGTGGCGAGCCCGTTTCTTCCTGACGAGCTCCTGGAATGAATGTCGTCGTTCGGCGTATGTTATCTATGCAAGAGTTACTGCTGTAGGCATCAAGTAGACCCACGCTTCAAGATTGTTTCTGTCTGGTGTTTGTGGTACTGTGGTCGAGTGTACGGCCGTTGTGACGGTTTCAACCCGTTGTTGTTGTGGATCAAGGGGATACCAGTCTCCTATCTCTGATATTTCCTTGTTTCAAAAGTAGAACTTCGGCGACACGTCTGCAAGCAGGCGTGATATTTTCATTTAGTTTATTTACCAAAGCTACAGGTTGTGCTGCACCTCCTGCAGATCGCCTATGCTACGGCCGGGGTACACAACAAGGAGAGATGTCCCCGTCTGTGTATTTGGTGAGCGAGGGGTGTGCACGGCGTATGAGAGACGCTGACAAGAGCACTCCAAAATCGGTTGCACTAAACTCCGCGCATACAATGTAAGCGGGTTTCGGCTGCTTCGATGTGACCAAACAATGCGTCTTTGGTCTACGTTATCCCAGTATTGGGTTTCTGTATATAATGGTGTTGGGGGTTACATTGTGTAGAAGCGAACACGGAGAATGCTGTTTCGCCTTCTGCCGTACAAGCTGTCGGACGATCCTTGTTTCAATTATCCTTGAGATGCCTATTTCTAGGTCGAGTGTGGTGAGCACCGTAAACGCTTCGTGCGTACACATACACGTACATGTATGAGCGCTTTTTTTTTTAAGGACGGTAGAGGGCTTCATGGCAATAATGCCGTGCTTGTTGTGGGTGACAGGCACCAGTAGTCCAAGGCTGTTATATTCCAAGGCTCCTGGGGTTGGTTGTAGCTTCCGTGAAAGGACATGTAAATAATGTAAAGTTTAGTGTCGACAGTCCACGATACGAGGTAGTCCAGCTGCCCAGCGGCAGACGTGTGCACTTTTTTTTGCAGGTGGTAGAGACGCTGATTTCATGTCACGGGAGGGAGCACAACTCCCACCGAGGCATGCTTAGCTATATATAGCGAGATACGCGATGACCCGTAGCTGGGTTGACGAGGCTGAATGCATCGGTTTGTTGTTGGTGCAGGGTGTTCTTTCTGGTACAGGTGGAGTGGGTCGTTGCCCCGCCCCCCCAAACCAGCAGCCGATCTTCGGACAAGGCAGAATGGGCGTATTGAGGGTGGACAGACAGCTTCTCTATTTGTTCGTTTTGGTGCACCTGATGCTCAGCAACGTGAGACGTCGCGTGCATTCAAGTTCATCAGGTGCGGAGTTTGGAGATTGAATGATGGCGGAAGTGATTTACTGTTGATGGAAGCGAGTATTTTGCATGTTGTGCATTGGAGAATGATTGCTTTGGGATGCAGGACATGGGGACGTAGTGGAGAAATGCAAATAAAGAAGAAAGTGGGGGGGGGAACCTCGTGCCGTGCTAAATAGGGTACGTATGTGGCCAAACGAGTTCATGGCGTCCACCGACCACTACACGATGAGTAAATTGTGGTGTGTGACCAAGCGCCAGGGCCAGGCAATATATCTTCATCCACGAGGAGGGCGCTCAGAATAATGACACTTGAAGAAGGTGTTCGGCTCAAGGCAGTTTCGTTCGTCCCTGCTGCAGCGTTGCCATTCTTTGCACGTCATGGGCAGAGGCCTACTTCCAGAAGTTGTTTCGGTTATCTGATTATATAGTTGCTCAGTCCAAGCGCCACGCAGCACGCTGTTCTACAAGATAGATGGACAAAAAATACTCTTACAGAGAGGATGGTCAGAAAATACATGACACGTAGTGGATGGTCAAGCTTGTCCATAGAATACCTCGTCGTTACGGCCTGTCGTTCGGTGGCCCGTTACAAGTCAGTTTAACACGCAAAAACTCATCCGGTGCTCTTCGCAGTCAGTCTCGATCAACTCCGTATTACTATCGACGGCAGGGCTCGAACTTCACGTAAGGCTCTCTCTTAGCCCGAATCAATGAGCGATTCCTTCAACCAGCTTCAACTACTCGAACAAATTTCTCGTCTTTGCTCTTCTCGTCCGCCGTTTGGAGAACACCGTGTTCCATCCCCACTTCTCGACCGCCCTCGCATACCTGCAACCTTCGACATCCGTTCAGCATGGTCACCCCGCATCCTGCGACCAACTCTGCAAAGCCATCCCCTACATTGCTTCACCAACATCGGACTCAGGCCCCACTGCCCAACGTAAGTAGTAGTCTATTCTCCTTTCGCAACGCATTTTCCACACGCCTGACCATCACACAAACCCTAGGGTCTCTCCTCGCTGTGCTTTTCAGTGAGACAACATGCTTAGCCTGTACAGGATTGGTGAAGTTGTTTTTATATGTTCGGCGGGTAACCAGACGTAAGCACCCTAGCAACCGATCCGCGTTAAGTTCAAAGAACATGCTTCCGTGACTAGGGCGGCACCAGTCGTGTTGACATGCACGGAACCTATGAGCGAGAACCCAACGCGGGAGAGTCTCCGTAACTCCCTACCTAGTCATCATATAACACACATACCAACTTCCAGAGACTCCGTGAGTTTCATACCGACCGCCGGGTACCCCAAACAGCCCCACTACAATATTCGGTGCGTGGTACGATCCTGGAGACTCTCGAAAAATTGCCAGGGGAAAGCAGCAACTCCAAATCCAACAGATCCATCTCCCAAACTTATTGATCCTCCTTACCTCCCAAATTCCCAAATTTCCCGTCCGTGTCTACACACTCAGATTTTCGAGATCTATCTCCGGTGCTTCCAAGTTTCAATGAGAATCTACGTTTCCTCCGCTTGAACGTATCCAGCACTCACATCCTCTTCAAATTTTACAAATCCAACACCAGAATTACATGCCATTCCCAGAAAACAACAACAACAGTAAGACCACGATGGACAACAGTCAGAGGGTACAACGTTGGGAAAACTCCATCATATAAATAGATATAAACACGATCATTTCTGTTTTCTCCCTAATGCTCTCCCAGTTCCAACAATCAATTCTCTCAATCTTACCATAGATCGCGGATTTTTCACATCAACTTTTAAACCAAAACGAAAACAACCTCAAGTCGGTCATATAAAAAAAAAAACGCGAAGATGAAATATGCCATGAAAAACCTGATACTGGCCAGAATCCGAACCCGGTACAGCAGTTGGCGCTGCTTACTTGCTTGTTAAATCATGTCATACTCAACCCTCAACCCCCCCCACCCCCCCCAGGATTTTTTGCGTGTACAACGTACCACCCGAACGTCACAAACAAGTGCCCAAATCCAATCCAACGGAGGTCAACCATAGAGAGAGAGAGAAAACCAACGAACTCTAGTCACAAAACTCTGGTGGATGCATTTCTAACACTCCTTCGTGCAGCGTTTTTTTTGTGAGGAAAGGATGTTCTGCGGACGGTACATTAGGATGAGATGCTGCTCTACGTCGCAGCAACAATTTGAGTAGCTTTTGCACTGCGTTCGTTCACTCATTGTAGGAACTTTGTCTGCGTTTGTGTGTACAACAGCAGCAGCAACAGCCGTACACACACACCCGCTGTCGAATTACTCTCACTTCTTCTTGTCGACTGTGGGTATATCTCGAATGGGGACAATAGTCGCTCTGTGTCATGTGTGTAATTATTATTCCTTAATTCTTGTCGAAGCAAGTCATATCCGGAGAGAGAGAGAGGCTCTGATGTGCAGGAAAAATTGGGTGGGAAATGCATCATCCAGTGTGCGTCTACCAACGCTGTGCGAATGGCTTTGGCGTGAGTGTATTCGCTTTGAACGCTTTCAGGTATCTGCGTTTGACACGGATGTGCACGTTACGAAAAGTAGCACAGGTGTGTGTGTACTCCCAACAAAAAAAATTACTTCGATTGAGAGAGGGAGATATGCGGCGTAACCTCTGTTTGTTTTTTACCAGAGAAACCAGCATACCAGCATGCAGGTGTGTTTCAGATTACCTCTCGCTAAAAGGATGGGTAGATGATTGTGTTGTATGGTGTTCTGCCGCGCTCGAGGAGAAGCAGGTGGAGAACTGTCACGGTACACGCTTTTCCCCGCGCGGGCAGGCTCCGAAGGATCTTGTAAAACGAGGAAAAAAACTGTCGGCCTGAAACCGTCGTTGCTCAACGGCTCTCTCGCTCCCTGCCCGGGGTATCTCCTCGCCCACCATCCCCCCCTCGCACCCCTCACACCTCACATCCCACCGACGACCTCCAACCTTCACCTCTGGTCTTTCTCTCTCTCTATCCGACGCTGGCAAGAACCCCCCACGCGTCTTGCATCTAACTTCGCCAAACCATCAACAAGAAGAGTCCAAGGCGCTCCAGACAGAGTCTATATCTTTGCTGCGAGTCGGAGACACGAACCACACCGCCCATCCGACATCCGACACACACGGCGCCGCTCGAACCTCAGAGCAGCAACCAACCAAGCAGAGTACCGCAAGCATGGGCCTCACCATCAGCAGCAGGTAAGAGGTAGATCTAGAACTTGGAACGATGAACCCGCCTCTGGTTGTTTGACTCTGATGCAGGGGGGCTCGGACAACAGCGCAGAGCAGTTTTCTCTCTGGCAGCGTTTTTTTTTTTGGCAACTGGCAACTTCAACAAGATTATCGTGTGTTCGTTGTTGTCCAATTCTGTCCGGAGAGGAGGGGGACAACCCCCCGATCTGTCCTCGGACAATTGCAGCCCATTCGAGCTTGTGCGCGCACTCCACACATCGTATCAGAATGACGGATCGTGACTTGCGCGACTCGTGCCTTCCCTTTTTATTTCTCGCCCGATGTGGAAACTGGCTCTCTCCTTGTTGTATGGATGCATGATGCGTCACTTGCTCGAAATCCAAACTAGGCACGCCCCCAACAACCGTTAGGCGCTCGGGCCGATGCGCCCCCCCCCCCCCATGAGAAAAACACCTCTGTGCCCGCAACACACAGCGTGTTGTATGGTAGAGGCGCTAGCCCGTACAGCCGCTTTGGTGACTGCCTTTCGAACGGATAGACGCACACATAGATCCGTACATCGATCGACCGACACGCACACACCCACCCGCGGTACGGAGAGACGTAAAGTTCTTTGCGGAACCCTGGGATGACCGGTACCCGAACTTGTCGTTGATGCACTCACACCGATCCTCCGCAGATGTACGCTGCACAAACGCTGAGATGTACCGGTAGCACCCGCGCCTCCGTCGCACCCATATCGCCACCCGACCGTAGTAGAAAGGATCGGCCCCCGGTCTCTCTCGCGCGGTGGCACCTGCCACACGGTACCTATACAACGTATGCATAGATTCACACGCGATCCAAATTTTAATTTTTACTTCTGTCATTTTGCCCCCGAACGTTTCCTCGTCTTCTGCTCTTTTCCGCGTCTAAACAGGAGTCCGGCCATGGCATACTCAGAAGGAGGGATCTGGTGCAGCACATTCGACGAGATGGGACGACGCTGCTGGTAAGAGGGCGACGTATCCTTTCGCCTGTTTTTTTCTGTTTTCTTTCGCTGTGCGCGGTCTCTGTCCGTAATGACTTTGGCCACTCTTTGGTAGGATCATGGCCAACTTTCCGCAAAGGTCCGACCAGCAGCACCGTTTGCCCCTTCTGGCTTTATGGGCGTTACTGCTTGTAGAAAACCTGCAGAAAGATGGACACACGCGTACGTTGAGCGCTCTTTCGAGATAAAAATAAGATTGACATTGCTGGCGTTGCCCCGCTCTGTGTAGGAGTGCGTGAGAAACTTGAAGAAAAATAATTTCATGTATATTTGCTCGCCACGTCACATCCTCGGTACTTGGGAGGATCTGTGTTTGTTTATGGACTACATGTAGTGCACCCCCGCTGATCGTGCGAAAATCGAGCCGGGATTCCATGAAGACAACGCCTATCGCAACCGAGGGGGGTCTGTGCACCTACTATCCCCTCAGAACCTGCGAGGACTTGAGATATGCAGACGTTGAATGAAGTTCTGACGGCCGCGTTGAAGTTGGTCGTGTGTACTGTATAGCTGGATGTACAGGGCGGATAGTTGATACTTGTACTCGCGGTTGCGTTATTTCCCCCCGACCCCGCGAACTCCCCCCCCCCCCCCCCTCCTCCTCCTCCTCACCAACAAGTTAAACCACCATACCCTTCCCCGACTCCCGCGTCGTGGGCTTGCTATTATTCTTGTCCGACACGATGCAACCAGGGTTAACAACGTGACGGGACAGAGGACCTACCAGTTTATCCGAGGGAGGCCCGTGACTCCCACTCAGCCGGCGGTGGCGTCACCGTACGTCGTCCAGCAGAGTCCAATGCCGGGGCCGCACACCGCGCCCTGGGGTCTGCCGTCGCCGGGCTACCCTGCGCCTCCGCCGCCCGCTGTCGCCATGGTCCCTTGCCAGGCGGGTTATGGCGACGGTGCCCCCCCCGTCGCTCCCGCGGGGAATGGGGGACTGGGCCAGCGCCTGCAGAAGTATTACCTGAGGCCTTCTTCGGAACGTTCGTGGATGTGGAACCGCAATCAGGGCCAATGATCGATGGACATCACCGCCCGTACGCGCAGATGTGGGACCAGTCACAGAGCCCGCGATCAACGTTGTACGGGGGGCATCGTACACGGGATGTTGCCCGTTCCTTCTACCCTCATCTAGGAGGTTTACTCCGGCTTGGGGGCGGGGATGGAATGTATGTACAGCAGTAGATGACACAGGGGCGCGAACAGACGGACTCTCCGGAAAAGCTCGGGACGGTAGCATTTAATTGTAAATAGTTTTTTGTCACGTGGAATATCTACCGTAAGGCTGGGTGAACCACGTGCGATGTTTTATCTCATGAGAGGATTCGGTGAAGCACTAATTTTGAAGTTGGCTCGTGTTGTTGTGGTGTAGCTCGACGTACTGGTTTGCGTTGGCCCTGTGGGGGGGGGGGGGAGGGGGGGGG